TATATATATATATAAAAGACTTAGAATCCATATAAAAGTGCGCGCGCACGCATGTGTGTGTGTGTGTGTGTGTGTGTGTGTGTGTGTGTGTGTGAACAAAGTCCTTTGTAAAATTTCTTTAAACTTATTTGAACTCATTAAATTTTAACCTGACGCCATGATCTTTTACCAGGCTCGTTTATCATATCAAGGATACCTTTGACGCATACACGGACAAGATGTTTCCGCTGAAGCAAAGGTGTTTAGATGTGCTGTACAAAACGGTAGCACGAGTATATATCGACCCGCGTAATTTGATGTGTCTGGACAACGAGGAAATGAAGACGAGATACTTGAAGCATCACTTGGGAATACGAGTTGCAACATTGCCTCGGGACATTGATCTCGCGTGGATGCCGACTGTGAATTTGAAGGAAACGTTGAAGACGTTCCGGAGGTATAAATCATTCATAAATAGAATTTAGGATAGAATATGTAATATCTCAATAAATATCCATCTCTTTTTATTTTTATATTTTATTTATATTATTTTTATTATTCGTATTTTTTAATATTTCTATATATTTTCTTTTATCTTTATCCTGTTGTTTACTTACTTCTATGTTTTTAAAAGGCTTGTCTTAGAATATTAATAAACACCTTTATTAACTATTGTTACCTATCTCTTTTATGCTAGTAGACATTTACATTTTATTTCTATGCTGTTAGAATTTTAAATCATAAGCAACACTGACGGAAGATTTCATCAAACATCGATTTTTCGTTTATATATTTCTGCAAGTTTCATTCTGTGTTAATCCTTTTGAGGATCGAAATTTTCTAATAAAAGTAACTTATGGATGATTTCATTTTCTAAAGATTTCGGTCTGAATTAGATTCTGATCTCAGAATCATAAAATTCAAATTTTAAAAAAATCTGATTATATCGTGAAACTAGGTTTTAGAAAGTTATTGGTATCTGAAAAATTGAATTTCAAAAGAATAGGAATCTTCATAAAGAAATATCTAGTGTTACAGAGTTGATATCAGAATAATCAGAATTTGAAAGTCAATTTGGAAATTTTAGTATTAATTTTTTACATATCAATGGTGAGCTTCAAATAAGGGAAATTGAAAAATCATTATTACAATTAAAAATTCTTGAAAATCAAGTTTTATGATAAAAAAATTCAAATCAAATTATTTCTTTTACCATATCCGTCATATTAAATTTATTTTGAATTTTATTTTTTAACTCAGATTAGAATAAAGCATTATTAAATTACTCTAAGTTTCATAAAAATTGTACAAGCATTTTATAAAATAAAAAGGGAATGATCCCAAATGGGGTCGCCAGTCTATAAAGGATAAATAATGATTTAATGTCATTACATTCTTATTTTTAACTTTGTATTTCTATCACATCTTAATTGTTTGCAAATTGTATTTATCTTTAAGAACATATAATTTACCGACAATTGTCGGTAGAATCACATAGGCATTTCATTTGTAATAGACTTATTCTTGGAGCCACAAATATTAATATTTTATTTTATTTTCTTTATTTATATTCTTTATTTATAATTCTTTATATTTGACGAGTTCGCTCTTTAACAGCTGTCTCTGTTTAGCATAAAGTTACATTACAATTTATACAATTATAGATAGATTATATAATTTAAGAATTACATTACATAATAATTTATGCATAATAATTTGCAGTTATAATTATGTTCGCGGTTAATCCGTTATAATTCCCATTTAACTGATCGAAATTTCGAAAATAATCCCAATATTTGCGGTTCGAACAGGAGATTAGCTATGGCATCCATGCCGCTCGAGCTCGCCTGGTTATATCACGAATTTTGCAAGTTTCTCATCGAGATACACCGCTTCGACCTGGCTAGATTCTACGCTAAGAAGGGACAAGACATGGCGCAGGAAGCAAATTGTGACCAATGGGTCCTGAATATGGATCATCTGATGCTGCGGATAGAGATTTATCAGAATAATCGGAACGAGGCGAGAGACATGGCGCTTTTAACGCTTGCACATGCCAGAAAACTTAATATCGACTGTCTGGTAAAAATAAAATCCATAAATTCGCAAACTAATTCGTAATGACATCGCTATATTGCCGTCGAATTTATATTACGATCGATATGAGCACGTTATTTAAAATTAGCTTGCGGCGTGCGCGAGAATGTGTTTAAAAAGTATCGGAAAACGCTGACTAAAACCAACTTGTTCACCGCCGCCAGCAATTTGCAGCACTAATTTTCCTCTCTTCAGAGCAATCCGCGCCATCGCATCTTTTGAATTTTTTAATAGATAAAGTCTAGCGATGCGCTACGATGAAATAACGTATATATTCATTGAGATATTATCGCGAGTCATGTTATATTCACTAAATCAACGAAAATTAATTTTCTTTGAAATTTTTCTTGTTGGGTTTGTTTAGGCATCCTTAAGAATGTATCAGCCTTACAGTTCCTGTAAATATTTAAAAATTGGAAATATGTTAATGTCTATTATATTTTCCATATAAAAATAAATACTAAAACAATATATATATGAAACAGATTTTGTATAAGTAATCTTGATTATTTAAAATATTTATGTAAAAAAATTTCAATTTTTATCATCAATAAGTTGAATATTATAACAAATAATAATTATAGTAAGTGAATTATAAAAATATGTTATTAATAAATAAATATATAATGTTATTCACATAACTGTTTCATACGTATATAATTTTATAGTATTGATTTTTATATAAACATTAATATATATTTTCAAACTTTTTGCAGGGACGGCATAGCTGATATATCTTTTACGATCGATGAAAAGTTTCTTTTCTTTTTCGTTTAAGTGTTATATATTCCCGTTATTTGCACAATCACTGCAGTCTTTTTCACATTAACAAGCTAAAAAAAACTATCGTTTCGGAAAACCTTTTTACAAAGACAAATGTAACGATCCTTTTTTACGAGAAGCAATTTTCGCCATTACGCGACACAATCGAGTCGCTGACGTAGGGAATAAGCAAAGTATTCTCCATTCACAAGATTTAATTCAAGGATCGGTCTTATAAATGTATCCGTAGATAGATTTCTACGAAAGAGCTGTAAAGATCGTGGATGAAATGGACGTGGAGCGTAACGGTGATTTAGACGACATCACTGCTAGGCAGCAGCTTATCCTCGAGCTGATGCCGAAAGAGATGAAAGGGGAGGTGGATTTTCTGTGGCGGCGAATGGATGTCGTGCCCGCCAAGAGACGACTCTCCGTCATGCCGGGTTGCAAGCCAATCGATCGAAAGTTCAAAATGCCATCCACGCGAAGGACCATATTACCCAGCCCGCCAAAGGACCCGGAGAGGGATGCCAGGATCATTTTGTTAAAGCAGTACGCTCAACCGCGCAAGCGACCGGGTTTCGTGAATTTTCAGGAGTTCGAATAATCGATCATCAATCGACAATGCAAACAGTGGTGTTTTTGCATTGTTTGCGCAGCACTTAGTGTAAATTAGCGACGCTAAACGCAAATGTAATGATGTGGATTCGCAAACAGGGATTACTCAACCGTTATGTCATAAATGCGCATTTGTTTGAATTTAAATTTATTGAAGGCCATTAAAAAATCTGTATCTCGTTGATTTATTCACAGTTTTTATTCTACGTTAATGAAGGTAATTTATTCACGTTTTGTAATAAAAATTTGTATATATAAAATACATACGCTTATTTTTAATACTCGTAGGATACTCGTTAGGATAATTTCATCACCGTTTTTCATCACATGTGGAAACCGTAATAATATTATGTCGACATAATGTGGCATTAACCCTCTAGAACTGATGTCGATTTATTATATCCACAATTACATTCCTTCGAAGCTGACGGTAGGTCTATTGGAGCGATTTAATTATAAATCTCTTTATAAAAAATGTTAATTTAATTTTCTTTACATTACATCTGCAAATAGATCTTGCTTAAATATACTTAGTATTTATTTTTTATGTCATTTTGGTTTCTTGAAATTTCACATAAAATTATAGACAAGATTTTGTTTTGCTGAAGAATTAAAAACTTTAAGATGCAGATCTGAAAATAATTTCATTGGCTCATCAAAATAATTATAGGCTGCTCAAAAAACTTTTTGCAGAATTATTCATTATTTTTGAGATTTTTACGAAATTATTTTGATGATTCAAGAAAATTATTTTCAAATTGTAATGCCTTTCTTATAATTAACATAAATTAAATGGGTTACAGATTCAATGTCAGTAATTTGTGTTATAAATTTTTTACGTCAGCTTCGAAGGGTAAGAATTCTCAATCAACATTTCATCTCGCTACTTTACGTAATCACAATCGGACTTTTCTTTTTATTTACCACGCATCATCGCGCTGCCTCGTTATTCTCGCGTTTCAATCTAGTGACGTCTGACAGGACCATTTCACCATGATGCACGGTCGTTTTCCAATAACGACATCGTGCTTTCCAATATGAGATGAGCAACATTCTGAACGTCTATGGAGCTACCGAAAGCATCGTAGCGGAAAATCTCTTTACCGCAATGACACTCTCTGAGTTTTTTTGATCCTCTTCATTTTTTTTCTTTCCGTTTCTCAGTCGTTATCATCGAACCTGAAATTTCAGCCCCAGCCTTTTACATTTTCCCTGTCCCTTTTGCAGGCTTTGTGACGTTTTATCACAGCGATATACCGACTATTAATTGGCAAGAATAATTAATTAGCCGCTGCGTGGGGACAATATGATAATATATTGAGCAGCAGAAAAAGAAAGAAAGAGAGTATTAGTATGTTGGAAATTGAATATAACAATAAATGAAATATAATATGTATTTGCTATTTGGAATTTAATTAATTTTAAATTACTTCGTATTTTTGCAATGCGTTAAGTCTAACGCGTATAAGAATTACGTTACGTTGTGTTTTTTTTTGGAATCGCGTTACAAATTAAACAATATATAAAATCACAAAAATAATGTGTATAAAATTACACAATTTATAGTGAAATATCTTAAATTATGTTTATATAAACATTAGCACATATTACTTCTAATTGAAACATATTTTTATATTAGACGAAAAATCATAATAATATAAAATCATAAAATTGTACACAATTCATTGATGAATTATTATATAATATTTCTATATATATATATATGTATGCTTATAAATTAGATTTCAATTGTATAAATGTATTTTTGCTAATTGTTTTATTTTAGAGAAGAATATTATATATAAATACTTTTATTTGAAACTTTAATCGAAATTTTATTTATAAGTTATAACTTTACTTACGTATATATGAATATACATCTTTAATAATGGTATAATGTTGTATTTGCACGTATTTTTTTATAGTGTAGTATGAGATAGATTTCTATTAAACGGAAAACAGGTCACTATGCGTTATTGTTCCAGATATGCATGAAACTTACGAAGACAGATTATACGAAGATAGATTACAAAGATTATTTCTCGTGCACGGGAATGCTTATGAAAGCTGCCGCATAGTAATTATAATAGCTTTCACAGTATTGATCGTTTGCTTTAAAATTATTATTGCTTATCTTTTAAAGGAATTATATTTATCAGAATTTGTCTTATAAGATTACGTTAATATATGATTTAATAAAGAAAACATTTGCCAATGGCATACATAAGAGAATAACAGAATAGGATAATTATATAGGTAAATAAATATAATTAAGTTTATACATAACGGCGGCTAATTAATTGTTCTTGCCAATTAATAAATTAAGTCGGTATATCGCTGCGATAAAAGATCAGAGTCTGCAAAAGGGACAAGGAAAATGTAAAAGGCTGGGGCTGAAATTTCAGATACATACGTTTTGGAACACAGCCTAGTATGTTATATCGTACCGTATTGTATTGAAAATCGATTTTAAACGAGTGAAATTGGTTGCGAGAGGTTTCCGTCTGAAAAACAAATCGCGAATATCTTCGATCAGGCGGACTCACGTATCCGGACTCGAGCGATATGAATGGCTATCTCTGCCAGATGGAAGCTCAACAGCACCGTGCGCGATCTCGATATCACCAAACAGACCGTGGAAAACGCGGAGAGTCGTGCGCGTCTTCAGATAAAGACTAGCGTTTCGAAACTATCCCATGGAAATACTCGACAGTTTGCACAAGCCCTACATCACGAAGCGGACGAGTTGTGCCAACGGTAGAATAATCAATCTGTTAATGATATTAAGTACTGGATGGCATTAATCGCACTTCATATTTCATGACTTTTGATTAGCTTAGCTAATTTGACGTGAGCGTAACGCCGGTCTCGAGAGTTCCGCGTTGAATAATTCTAAAATCGATCACCATTTTCGGAGTTACATCAAAAGCACATTAATCCCTTACTTGCTTCTGTTTCCTGTTTTTTTGTCACGTTTTAAACACCGACCATTTTCTTATTAATATTTTTGTTTCTGAAAAGATATTATACGGTCCTATTGGATCGCGTACGCGTAACATGTAACAATGAGAGAGGAAGAGCCATTGTGCCGCCTTGACGTTCTGTAATTTTCAACTGGAAATTGGATCTGCACACATGAATACATAGAAATGATCACGGTATATTCCTATTAACTTAGTTACGTCCAACGTGTCAATATTATGTACGGATATGAAGATTGATCGCCATGTATAAGTAATGAATAAAATTTTCTATGCGAAAAGAAATGATATTAATTATCTATCGATTATTCTTAATATCCTCAAGTAAGAAGAGTAACTTTGTTAATTTAATATAGATGATAATCAAGAGAGTTAATAGACGATAACACAGAGTCCCCAAATTATAATGATAAAAAAAATTGTTTTTGATTTTTGATTTACGAAATTCCTGTTTTGTCTTTCTAAAAATTTTTAAAAATTTTCTCTCTAAATCTTTTATCTTCAATAAATTTCATCTAAGAATTAAATAAAGAAAGTTTGGTTTAAAGAAATTTTGGTTTTAAGATTGTTTAATTTCTCTATTGCAATGATTCTATTACATTGCTCCTTAATTGTTTCTCAATTATAATTTTATTTCAAATACCACAAGCATTTTAATAAATTGATAATTACGGTGTTTAATCTAATAATATTTTAAACAGAAATATTAATAAATATTTTCGTGAACTACGTAAATTTATTGGACATAGCAGGGCGAATTAGTTATTGATAAAACTTAGCATAACTTCATGCACCGAATATTTAAAATTTAAAGCTCGTTACGATAATTAGCTCATTGTTGTCATTAATGCTATAAGCATTGTTGTCATTAATGCTATAAGCATTTCGACCGCATTTAAGAAAAATGGGTCGTAGAGAATATCGGAAATGTTGCCAATACGTCTCGTTCCCTGAAAGAATATTCAACGAGAATATCACTTTATAAACGGCCGATGTTCAGCTTTTGCGGATAGCCATGAGCATTTTAATTCTACTAATAGATTTCCTTTTTTCTTGATTTAAAAAAAAAATCTCTCCGACAGCCTGCGGCTTAATTCCTGTGTCAAATAAAGCGATAGAGGTTTTTTGCAATAACATTAAATATTGTTAAGTCATATTTTTACTGAAAGTTTTGTCTTTAAATAAATGTATAATTAAATATCAAGTTCTTAATTAAATATATCTATAGAATTATTTGTTATTTTATATCTTATACATACATATACACACATATATTATATTTTATAT